CACCGCCTCTGCTGGCGGCAAAGTAAATTACAACAGACACCTACTCACTGTACAACACACACATACAGCTCCTAAAGCATATCATGTATATCACGCTACAGCCCTTGTATATTTTATTATGTGAACACTATATGGTTTCATGAATAATATCTACTCTTTACTTGTAGATATCTACTCAAGCATACAAATAAAGTGCTATGCAATGTAGGCCTGTTACATATGTTATTGCTGTTCTCACTGTAAACATCGCGTCTGAATGAAAGCAGTTGGATTAAAAAAAAAGAGCATAACATCCAGGCGAGATGTGATTAGTGAGTAAACAAACGGTAAAGGGCAGAAAGTCTGATGCACATTTGATGCTCTTAAATAACTTATAATCACAACGGGAACAGTTAGCAGAGCTTTGCTTTGTTGACATAAGTCCAGCCATGCGTCACGCCTCTTTTAAACATCACTGTTGGCTGAAAACGGAGGATACATCAGTGTACCCTCGGTTATAGCTCCTCCAGAGACTCTCCTCTCCTCCTCTCCTCTCTCCTCTCTCCTCTCTCCTCTCTCCTCTAAATCAGTGTATCCTCGGTTACGGCTCCTCCAGACAGCCTCCTCGATAATCCATCCTCGACGAGCCTTTAGACAAATTTGTTTTCCTCCAGACGGCGCGCCGACATCCGTTTCCGGGTCGCTGCCAGAGGACCTGGGAGCCTGGGACGCGAAAATGAGAGTAATGACAAACGGCTCATTTCGGAGGACTCGCGCGCGTCTGCTTGACGCCGGGACGACCGGCCGCCCTCCCCAACAGGCGCACGGACGCGAGGGCCCGCTCATCACTGCGCACATCTGTGACCGCAGTTTTAATTATGTTTGTTTTTTTCATTAACATAAAATAAATCTCACGTACCCCCTGCAGTACTCCAACGTACCCCTAGGGGTCCGCGTACCCCCATTTGAGAACCACTGGTCTAAGAACCTGAATGTTACCTTTGACCTCCTTTGACCTCCATTGAACCACAGCTGCTTTGTTTCTTTCTCCTCAGCTTCTCGTGAGCGCTCCATCATCGAGCGCGGCCTGACTTCCTTCCACGATGTTTCCTGCATTCGCTTCGTCAGACGCACGGGCCAGAGAGACTTCCTGAACATCCATTCAGATGGCGGGTAAACCTCGTATTTGTAAACCTACTTTGCAAGAAAACAGATTATGATTCTTTAAGGTCTTCTGTTGCACTATTTTGAGGCATCCTTTTTTTTTATTTCCTGCTTTTTTACACATGCTCTCTCCAGTACAGGTTAGCTCTGAGTGTTAGCCATGCTTGATAATGTAAACAAAGATCATATTACGTCCAAAACTGTCACGCATTGTTTCTGATAACAACGTTTCTGATAGGGCCGTGGGTGTAAAGCCCGCCCACATTTCCGATATTGCGTCATATCGGACGCAAATCTGGATCAGCTCCGTTGTTCCCCCTTTTTTAGAGATTTGGGTACGGAGGAAAAGAGAGAGGGTTTTATTTTCTGACACTTTGTGAGTTCCCTAACACACCGGGGACACATATTTATGTACAAAGGACATGAAAAAGTGCAATTTGCATGATAGGAGACCTGTAAATGTTGTGTTTGTTGCAGCTGCTACTCGTACGTGGGGCGTCGGGGCTACTCCCAGACGGTGTCTCTGGACCAGCAGGGCTGCCTGTATCACAGCACGGTTCAACACGAGCTGCTGCACGCGCTCGGGTTCAACCACGAGCAGTGCCGCTCCGACAGAGACCAGCACATCTGGATCCTGTGGAAGAACATCCATCCTCTAAAACACCCTCAAATAAGCCCTTAATAAAGTATTTTTTAAAACATCATCCGAGGCGTGTCCCATGTCTCACCTGCACCACCTCTCTAGACCTCGGCCTGGGATTTAAACACTTTTAGGGACACTTGGTTGACTTTATTTTAGGATATTTTCCCTCCCCGTGTGCTTACTAACCCGTGTGTATTTTATATTTTTTATTTTACATTTGGCACTTATTTTTAAAAGCACTTATTTAAAAAAAAAAGCACTTTTATGTATTTATTTATTATTTTTTAACACTAATTTTACCTGCATGCCGATTTTAAACAAAGTCAACCTTGGTTCTTTTAGCCAGATGTTTTTAACCCACTTACCAGATCTTTTACCAGATGCTGTGGTACGCAGCCTCGGACACCCCACCGGGGGAGACCCCCTCGGGGGGGCAAGAGTACAAGTTTTAACCCCGCCGCATACGCTCTGTGCTTCAGCTGCTGCTCACTTTTATCCCTTTTATTGCATTTTCTTGAAAAAAAATGAACACAGACCAAACAGGGCTTTTATAAACTTGTATTGGTTTTACTACAGGAGTTTTTAAACGAAAAAGATTGACCCGAGAGCCCGTGCACCACACTGCACTCCTATGGAGGTTCCCCAAAATCCTAACCAAGTCTTCACCCTAAAATGAATGATTCCCCTCATGGGGACCTCCCTTATGGGGACATAAGGCGAGTCCCCACACGTGATTGTATAAACAACTTTTGGTCCCCACAAGGATAGTGATGCTAGGTCACACACACACACACACACACACACACACACACACACACACACACACACACACACACACACACACACACACACACACACACACCCTGTCTGACTTCGTATTAAGTGTTTGTGGTGTCAGCATCATTTCATTTATCTCTTAGTCTTGTTGACTAGAACTCAAGGAGGACATTACAGCTCTCATCGAGGAAATAAAAGGTATTTTCTTAATTAAAACCTCAATAATGTGAAGATGATTCACCACATCTTTCTTCCGATACTCCAAAAAAATAAGAAGGTGTTTGAACGTTTAATGTTGATATTGATTAACAGCTTCATTCTGCAGATCGTTGCTCGGCTTTTAATGAATTAACAACGATGGCTTTGTACAGAAAGGACTCTGATAGAATAAATGACAGGGGTAATAACACAGTTTACTTTATTTGAATGACAAACTAATACATAAAAACATATTCAAGATACAAATAAAGTACCTCAAAATGTAACTGCAGTAAAAATCTTGACTGCATGTAAGTGTAGATGTTTGTCCACTAGGGGGCGACACATCCTCACAGTTCACATGGAGAGACCTGCTAACGCACCTTTACAGAACTGCTTTAATGACACAGGTATTTAAGCATCACCACTTAAACAATTGTGGTTTCCTCAGAATGTAAATGGAAAATCAGCATTTAATTTAATGAGAAGTTTAAAATGTATGCCTAAATCCAGAAATGCCAATGAAAAACGAGTAAAATAACACATAGACTACTATTTAAAACACAGCTTGCACAATCATCCTCAGTGTCATCTACACAGTGATCCTTCTTTAAAGATCGTTATGCAGTGTAAATAAACACAACTGAAGCACAAACAAAAGAACATTTTCTAATTTAAAAAAAGACAATACGGCAGGGAGGACACAAAAGCATTTTCAAGCTAATGTAACTTTCCTTTTCAAGTCATGTGTGGCTCTTTCCTCGTCTGTCGATCAGTGTCAATCTCAACCGTCTCGATCCTGATCTCCCACATTCCTCCCGCTCCTCAGTGATGGACACGTCTCTGAAATCTTCGTCTCTCTCTCACTCTCTGCCCTGAGGCGACACGTCAGGACTCTCTCTCTCAGAAGCAGTATCTGAGGGAACAACGTCAACATGTAAGACTGCTTATACTTTCAGGCAGAAGAGAGGCCATGTTGTCCGTGTACTGTATTGTCTTCATATAAGGCCAGACAGAAGAGGTCAAAGCATAAGAGAGCAGGATATGCATCAGAATCAGAATCAAGTTTATTGCCAGGTACGTTTAATCTGCTTTGGTATCTAGTGGTGCGAACATAAACAATCTAAAGAAATAAGTATATATGTTAGAGCCAGTATTTAGTTTTTATAAGAAAGGCCACCTAATCGTGACATCTGTAGTCAACACACTATGACTGACTACAATTCCCACGACGCCTCCTTTAAGTGACAGTGATGGGCAGCAACCTGTCAGAAAGACGCCGTCGAGGAACCGTTTTTAACCGTTCAATTACCCTTTAAGTTATTAAGTTATATTTCAAGAAAGAAAGAATACCTAAGTTGTTTGTTATTTTATTTGACTTTTGCCTATTTGTTTTGACTATTGTAAAGGCCTCTTTTCTTTTTCGCATGTGTAAAAGTTAATTATTTTACTTTGAGCATTGCACAATATCATCCAAACCATCTAATCGGAGGCCAAGCAACTCTTCAACTGTAAGTAACACAAAGATAAAGGAAAGAAAACAAGTTTGTCTGTTTTTAAGGCGTGTAGTGGCTTGATAGAAAAATAAGGAAGGAAGCCACGACAAAATATGTAAGGAAAATAAAAAATAAGTATTTTTAAGAAACTATTTAGCATTAAAAATGTACAGTATTTACAACACATTAAAATGTAACTATATACAAATAACCTTAAAAACTAAAGAACATGGGTAGTATTGTGTGTGCATGCTGTGTGTGAAATGAACAGAAACAATAGCTCTAATAACTCTAGAAGCAGCGACACAAGCACATCCCTTACAGTAAGTGCCAAAAATACCAGGATGTACTTCTGCATGGGGTCACATTTTCCATTTAAGCGTGCTTTCCTTACGGTGGCCTACAGGCGCAAATGCGTTACAATGGACTACAAGAAGAAACATCTTCACCAACTTGAGGAAACATGTGTAGCGTTTACTATGAGCGAACAAGTTGGGACCGGAGCACTTAGTGATGTTCAGGGATTATAAAGTTTGCCAACTGTCTCTGTTGTTGGAAACGTACCTAAAATGAAAATGTTTATTGAGTCATTTTAACAATGCGATCGCATGATTCCTTCCGATATTATTGCAGATCTGCTGCAAGTTAGCTAGCTAACCTAGCATGTGTTGTAACGCGGGAAAAGATGTTGGTTTTGGCACATTTGTGTATTTATATATTCATCGGGTCTGAAACCGCGCCCTATTATGCACATTTTTAGGTTCATATGTGTATGTAGTGTCTCTACTTTAAAGAGTCCTCTCCTGCTGATGTTCAGGTGTATATCAGTATGTAGTGTCTCTACATTAAAGAGTCCTCTCCTGCTGATGTTCAGGTGTATATCAGTATGTAGTGTCTCTACTTTAAAGAGTCCTCTCCTGCTGATGTTCAGGTGTATATCAGTATGTAGTGTCTCTACTTTAAAGAGTCCTCTCCTGCTGATGTTCAGGTGTACAGGACTGTCTCAGAAAATTAGAATATTGTGATAAAGTTCTTTATTTTCTGTAATGCAATTAA